GCATTTCCATAAATCATGTTTATTTTCCATCAACCCCAATTATATACTACATAACAGTGTTAGTATGACTCTCTAGTATTACATCCCAGTAAAATGGACTGCTGTTTATCATAGTGGAAAACATGGAAATATTCAAGGGCTATTAATGGTTTTGCTTGGGTCTGGTAGCTTTATAACCGTCAGCAGTTTGTTGATCACAACTTTTGCCTTGCAACTTATTAATAAAGTTCCAGTGTGTAACACGTCTCCTCAGTTGGGGAAGATGATGAAGAGGCACATAGTCTGATCCTGGATAAAATGCTTTCTAAACAGGTGCGCCTTCTACATACAGCAGGCTCCACTGAGGGTATGTGTTCACTTAAACGTGAGAAAGTCTTGCACAGTTCAGGTTAGAGGCATAAAGAAATAGCCCTTCTTCTGTTGCACAGTGCCTGTCTAGTCCTGCTTGCTGAAATAATGGATTTTAATTCATTTCCAGAAGAGTACACCCATCTGGTGGCTTTAGGGGACAGTAAAATCCACTATCGGTTACAATTATTCTAAAGGAGAGCAATGCGCTCCGAGCGCGAGTGTGACCCGTCCACCCCGACTAGTGCAGGGCTGTGCAAATATCTGCTCGGGTGATTAAGAGGGAGAGCTGGCGAGATGCTCAGAGTGGTTGTGCTGCGTAAGCACGAGCCGGATCCCTCAAGCACGCTTGCCGCACTGGTGCCTCCGTGACAAATCATCCCGAGGGAATCAACACCAAGCCAGTGACTCGATTTGCGTGCGATTCTGTTTTGAATTTGTCGCTGGAGTGTCTGTAATATTCCACTTAGTGTAAGGGTGTGTGTTTTGAGGGCTTCCATCAAATCTTCCACCCAGAGGTAGATTTCAACAGCCTGTCACTTGGGGGCAGTAGAAAAAAAAAAAAAAAAAAAAAAAAAAAAAAACAACAACTAGAAAACGATAAAACTGAGGTTTTCTTCAGCCAACTTGCACAAAGGCAACCCTGTTTCCTGCAGAAACTAGATGAAAAAAATGTCAGGATGCCCTGCAAAAAAAAAAAAACAAAACAAAAAAAAAACTATTTGCGATAAAAGCACATAGCCGATGATTCCTGCAGCGCTCACACAGAGCACACACACAATGGGGTGGCATTGAGGCACACACACAATACCTTGTTGGTGGCATTGAGGCTTGTTATGCAAAACAGAGAAAATCTGTTTCTGCGGGAATTTGGCAGGACAAACATCCAAGGAGCCGAGGCTTCAGAACGGGAAGGGGAAAATCTGACAAAGTCCCTCTTAAAGTACAGCAAACTCCAACAAACACAGCTTCAGTCTCTTTCTTTTCTAAAAAGCTCTTTAGCGATTCCCTCAAACGTCGCCCTCCTCGTGGTGCAGCTTTTTCTTTTCTACTTCACTCCTGTTTTTGTGGTCAAATCTTTGCGCCAACATCTCTGGGCTTTTATCCAACACACCCCTGCTGAGAGTCTTCTGTGAGAGCTTATGTAACATAAGTGTTTGATTTACATCTGCCTGCGTGCGCGGACGACGCATGTGCGCGCGCGCTGTGTAAAGCCAAGATGGAGGCTGTCTGAGACCTGCACGGTTTTGCAAGAGAAGAAGAGATAAAGTGGGTCTGGGTTTCCCGGCACTGTTGCAGATTTATCTCTCTGCTTATGGCCCTGATTTTATTGCCCATCAGTCGGCCTACGCTAGATACCATTTCTCCCTCTCCCTCTCTCTACTTTTCACTAACCATAAGGGACCGGCTTCTTTCTATGCACGTTCCGGCTCCTATAAATCTGCCACCCTGCTCCATAAAGCTGCTCAGGGCATGCCTCGACAAATATTAAGAAAGAGAGAATAAATAAATAACAGCTAAATAAATGAGAAGCTGCTGTTTAGAGGCAGAGTGCACTTCTGCACACAAAATGAAGCCCTACTGTAAAATATTTACCTCTGTCTTGGTGATTTGGACCCTCTGTGAGGAGTCTGTGGGAGCTCACTGCACAACATCACAGACTTTCTCTCCCACTGTCCCTCATGTCTCGGCTGCTCTGCGTGCTCATCTTTTTGTTGTTGTTGTTGACGTCGACGGGTGTGCCAATCCCTTTTACACCATATAAAACAGATGAAGCTGTTCTGCTGTTCTTTTAGGATCACATAAATATAAGCTTAACATGTCCAAATATTTTTGTTGTCATTGCAGCCAAACAGCGCAGTCTTCATCCGACGATGAACCATTTCCACACAAGGCCATTTCCTTGGTATTTTAGTGGGAAAAAAAAGGAGTTTCTGGGAGCATCCTCTTAGTTCATGTTCACTATTCATGGATCCGTTCCCCGTGAATAGTGACACCAGCCTTTTAAGTAGTGTCCACTTAATAGTATGCTTCATGCTGGATGGTTCTTGTGTTAAACTAGCTAAAGCCAGTTTCCCTGTATTTGAGCGTCGGCACAGCTTGGCTCAATCTTAGATTCATCTTTTAGTTCTTGTCTTGGCTCTTTCAGCCTTAAAGAGATTCTGGTCATCTTGCAGTCTGCCGTCCTTTCAGCTCCAGCCATGAAATTATTTTTACTGATATTTAGGGTTCAGTCATCGTCCCTTCACTCCTGACTTTCCACATGATTTAGGATCATTATTTGGTTGTAGAAACCGACCGGTTTTATTTCTACAGCTGGCGATTTTTGCTTCCAAAGATTACCGGTGTTTAATTTAATCCACTTGTCCTTCTAACAGTGAAATGTTTCCATACTAAAAAGCCCACTATGTTTGACTGCGTAGGCCTATTGCTTACGAGTTTGAAAGCTCTTCTTTTCAAAGGATTCTCGAGTCTTTCTCCTACAATTTTTTCTGCTTTAAGTCCTATTCTAATATCAGTCTAAAGGACTCGATTTAAAAAAAAAAAGACTTCTTCAGATATTCATTTGATGGCTAAACGTGGTAAGGGAGTAATTAATGATTAAGAATACAAATGAATGTCACTGTTATGCAAATCTCAGAAGCACATATGCTTAAAATAAAGAGATGTAATCATCAACTCATATAGTCAAACAAATAAGGTTATTATTCTGCTCTCTGTTAAATAAACAGTATTTCATTGCAAATCAGAAACTGGCTTATTTCAAAATGAAAACACTAAAACTTGAGTGAAGCAAAGAAAACGTAAAACCCTTCTTTGGGCTTTCTAAAAGTGTTTTAGATCAAACACGCATGTACGAACCACCACTTGTCGTTTTATAGTTAAAATGTTTTCTAATTCAGTGACAGATTGAATCTTTTAGGTTTGCTTACCTTTAACCTTTAATTTTTTCCAAAAAAGAATCCAAAAAGTCTTCTGACGTGAGAAGTTAAACACAACAGTCGGATTTCTTTATGCTGTCTCTTGTGAAAAGGTGGCTTTTTGTTCGATTTTTATTTATTTATTTTTTTTAGCAATTTCTGTTCACTTAGCTTTTGCTGGAGGTCTTTTGGTAACAAACTTTTTTTGATTTTTCCTTTTCAATCCAGCAATCCAAGTTAGGAAGTTGTATATGTTTAAAACATGACAATTTTTCCAAAAAGTTGACTTATGAATTATGGTGAAACTCAGTGACCCGACAATATATTTTTGTCCACTGGGTCTGTACGCATTCTGCTAGTTTTGTTTTCCCAAAACAAATGGCTAAAGAAACTCATCACGTCTATGAAATGGGTCTAAAGAGCCAGGACTGCATGTGAGTTGGCATGCTCTGGTTTCACTTAATATTTATCAAGTTTAACCAAACAAAAAGTCTAAAACCCTTGGTAAAACTTGTTGACAAGCTAAAAAATGCTGAGATGCTAAAACCGTGAAAGGTGATCTTTTGAGATTTGAACAAACCTTTATAAAACACATGTTTTAATTAAATGTTAAAATCATAATTATTAGTGGAAATTTTGACCTGCTGTAACCAAAAAAAGTTTCTACATGCAAGTTCACTTTGACCTCCACTGCTCCGTTTCCTCATTAAAAATAATTTCCAAAAAATACCCCAGTTTCACAAAAGCCCGCAGCCATTTACTGCACACATATGCAGAGCGGAGCGAAAACAACACAAGCAAAACAAAAACACACAGTCACGAAGCAAACAATGAGGATTTAAACAATTGTGAGACGTTTTCATGGGAAAAGCCAAACATTTCCTGAATCTCAGTGGAGTAAAGATAGAGACAAATGACACAAATAGCTTAAGGGCCCGCATTGTGCAACCTGTTCATGCATAGGTGCGAGTCGGCTGACATGTGAGGCTGTGCCTGTCAGTTTATCAACGGCAGCAATTTTTCACCCTTGATCAGCCAACCGTGGAGGCATTTCAAATGAACTACCTGCATTCCAGCAGCATCAGATTGAAGACAAAAGGCAGGCTCTCTGTGAATTATTGGACCTTCTTTGGGCTTTGTCTTCATACCTCCCCCTTTCTGTCACAAACTCTTCCGATCCCTCTCCGATTCTCCGGACCTCTCAGTCTTGTCTGATTGGCTGCACTGTGACAGACACATTAGCCATTCACAGCGTGGCAAGCGCCATGTGGACAGAGGACTGTGCCCAGAAATCAAGCAATATGCTGTCACAGAAAAAAAAGAAAAAAAGAAAAACAAACACTCGCTCTTGCATGCGTGCCCACATGGTACTCCCATTGTGACCTCACGTCAAAAAAGACAAACAACGGCGACAGAAAGCGGCCGCCTCTCAATGTGGCGAGCCAGAGTACGGAACCTCGGTACCATATGGGCTCTTCATTGTTGACAAAACAGCCTTAGGGATAGTAGCACCCACAATTAGCATATACAGAAACCACTTTTTCATTTTCACCATCTCCCCAACAAATGCGTGCCATCACCGATCTGCATGTATTGCCCAGAGGTGCGGGGAAGACGATTTGTAAAGTCATCAATTTCCTTTAATTTGGGAACAACGCAGACGACAGTGACAGCTGCAGGGGGAAAAAAAAATAAAATAAAGACAAATAAAACACCCTAAGATGCTCTTACCGAGTTGCGTCTCCATGTTTGTCATCTTATTTTCTGCCGGAAACAGGATCTTCGGCGGGTCGACGGTTATAGGAGCTGAAAAATAAGGAAACAGACACAAATTGAGGCCAAAAAACCCCCCCACAAAAAACACGTTTGCCTTTCAAAACATAACCATTGGCATCTTTATTGCAACAGTTCAAGCTTCTGCAGGTATAATGTTTCATTCACCTGACCTACTTGTAATTAATGCATCAGCACTTTACTAAAAACATGGCACCATTTATTCTGTCTAAGTGTTATGTACGTGAAGAGCCCTCGTACAGCGCAAGAGTGTGCCTCGGAGAGAAGGAGCAGCTGATGCTCTAATAATGCTAATCATCCATACGGTGGATGTCAGACCTGCTGCTTAAGTCTCTACTCCGGGGAATGCCGGAGCATGCTGCAGTTTTATGGTTTGTATAGAGGTGGCGGCACCCTTTAGGGTTAAAAGGGTTTAAACATTGTCTTGTATCTACAAAGAGGAAGATAAATAAGAAAAGGGGAGGCCATGATTTTACACAACATAATTGGGATTAAAATCAGGTATCAGGAAATTGTGTGATTGTGAATATTTCTGAATATTGTGATCCAGACGTGAATTATTCCATTCCATTATCTCACTATTCACCATTAACGTTAGCATCGTAGCTACTGAAATCTATTTCAACTGTAAGCATCACAGTTACTGTAGAACATCTTGAAGTGCTTTTGTAGCACTTAGAGTAGTTATGTAAGAAACAACATTTATTCTCGGTATCATTATTATCAAGGGCAGTGAGTCCATACAACTCATTAAATATATAATTGGCAGAGTGGCACTTAAAATGTAACACCTTACCGATTACTGGATTCAAGTCCTTTGCAATTGCAATACTGCACAAACTGATACATGTTTAATGACTACAATATCGTGCAGAGTGCAGCTTTATTCATGTAGGTACACAATTTGTCACTTAAAACCACAAAAACAGTAAGTCACAGGTTTGGAACAGAGTTTCACCATTTCCCATTTGATAGCTAATTAACGTGTCTGCAACACCAAGAATCAATGTTTACAAGTCAGGGACACTTTCATGTTCATGTAGTGCTTATACAATCACTTCAGGATGCAGTGTTGGATGTTTTAAAACTTTGAGTTTGAACAATAATAATCATGTTTTGTGGGTGCGCACAATACTCGTAGTAGTATGTAGTACATTAATTGAGGAATGCTAAACTCTTCCTCAGCATTCTGGAGGAGTATTAAGTCCATTTCCTGCTATACTTCAATTAATACTTCCCATTGTTCACCAAACACAAGACACACTCTTTACATCACTAATAGAACTACATTAATTAATATATGTTAGGTAATGAAATCATGTTTTTAAATACATCAGAAGCTACCATGAAAGAATGATTGAATATAGCTTTAATGCTGAAAATCAGAGGGTTTTTTTTTGAGACCTTCCGTGTAGTTTTTGGAAGTTGGATGATAATTACAGCTGAAGAACTGATGCAGGTCTTCGTTTAGGTTACACTTAAGCTCACTTGGGTAAAGTATCTTTCCTACGCTCCACCTTCAATTCAATCAGTCTGATCTCTAGCTGGTGAAGTAACTGAACACATCTGGAAGCAAGACGAACTGTATGATGTTCTTATTTCTTATAAGCAATTGTATTTCAACATAGGGCCACAGTGTGGACCAGTGGCACACAGGCAAGTTTCAAGTTTTTGAAGTGTGGGCACCAACGACCAGCATATTGACCTAAAACTCCCAAAAAGCCATTTAAATTTGATCAAGCATTTTTAATAACAAATGTAGCAACTTCAAAAATCAATTTTACTTTCTGTATTTCTGCAAAACAAACTATTTCATACCAAATATTTTGAATCTTTATCAATAGAAAGCTCTTGTCTTAGCACTCCCCGATAACATAATTCACCACAACCAGAGATGATTTTCTGAAAACCGTTTCAGTTTCATAACATCAGATCGATCAGATGTCACACCTGCTAGTATGTAAATAGTGACTGAAGCTCAGTGATGTCTATGAGAAGGGCGGTCACGGGTGTTTAGTCACGACTGTTTGCACCGTTAATAGGTAATCAGCACAAATTACACTAGATACGGCGGGAATTTTAATTACATATCAAACTGCTATACATAATTACACAATGGGTGATCCTATAGCTAATTATGAACCAGGCAAACAAACGAGGGCAATCTGTGTATGCAACACAAGAGGGGAAGCAGACGTGGTAAAGAGATGGACGATAGGACACAACAAAGAATAACGTGCTAATCGCGTAAAGAAAAAGTCGAAATTCTTCTAAAGATGACATTAACAAGCTGCAAGAGCATAACCCACATTCCTTTGCCCTACTTTTGGCATACTGTGGTTACTTTAGAAAATCTCATCATCTCAATTACCACTCTTTTATGAGGAATACATCAATTATCATGGTTTGGGAGGGACCACCATTTAAAAAGTGACGGACTCGAATCTGCTCCAGACAAAAAGACTCTGCTTACATTGATAAGCTCCCACTGACTATAAATGCAATTAAATATGCAAATATGTATGGAAAACTGTAATAAAATGGTTTTGTACCTCACAAGAAAATAATGGTGACCTCATGTGTCTTGTATTTATACTGGATTTCATGATTGTGTGTTACGTTTGTAAGGTAGAACTTAACCATGAACACAATCTTGCATGTTTAACAAGTACATTTAAGTAAAAAATAAAGCATTAAATCAGCACAAGCTTTTGGAAAACTTTCTGCTACTCAGAAAATGTTTTTGCATTCCAATTTAATGTTACAGAACATCCCACCTTATTTGACAGTTCTGTGGGTAAAATGTGGGAATTATTTAAGCTTCACAATTCTGATGGAGTCCTGAATTTGCATCTTTTGAGGGATCTGATGGGCTCATGTGGGATATCTAGGCACATTTTAAGCTTTTAGATCACTTTAAACATCACTGTAAAACACAGTTTTTTTAGTAGCCTAAGGGCAGAGAGATGCTGTATTCTCTGTGCTGAAAAAGCAGAATAAATTTCAAGAGCCGATACAAAAAATAAACTATTCTGCTACATAATAAAATAAAGTGTATTCAACCTTCTGAGTAACACAAGAGCTAAAAACAGACAAACTAGAGTCACAGAACCAGAGCTTTCATGCCTGTTATTTTCCTTTCCTGTGTAAACCAGATAACATCATACATAATCATATTTTTTTTTCCCTTAACTGATTTTTTTTTTAAATCCAGCTAGGCAAAAATGTATCCCCTGCTTATGCTATTTTGCACTTGTAAAAAAAAAAAAAAAAAAAAATATATATATATATATAAAGCTGGGACATTTTTAGAGGTAGTTTTACCACATTAACCTGATAGTTTTCTTCACTGCAGCATGGTGTAGGTATTTTAATTCCAAAACTGTCACACATTTTAACAAATCCATTCATATTAAACAATCCATATGTGACTAGGATACAGACCCAGTTACACGTATTTTAAATAAACTGCTTTTATGCTCCAGTTACTAAAAGGTCTCAGGCAATTTCCAAATTCTGCATCCAGAAACTTGTGAATGACCGATTAAAGACATACTTTGAATTAAAAGTATTTCAACTGTAATTTCTTTCTCTAAAGCAGCTGACCTGGACTGGTCATAGCCTTATTGTAATTATTTGACTATGTCAAATTCTGCCACAATAACCTTTCAGATATCATTTAGAACAAGCTATGAACTGGTTATTTAAACTGTTTTTTTAAATCTTAATTTCATATTGCCCGTTTGTGACAAAATGTGTTTCTCAGAGCTCTGTATTGAGATTTCCTTGTAGCAGAAATTTGGGGTCTGCTCCAGTTTGATGTGGCGAAGAGTAAAAAAAAACAACAACAAAAAAACAAAAACTAAAGCTCTAGTTGATAATCTGTCATAATCTGACAGAGTGTCACCTGATCACACACTTTAATTGCACTCAGCATAGCTTGCAATAAAGTACAACAGGACCTTATGTTGTCCAGTTAAATTCAACTAAGCATTTTATATATATTTCAATCCCAAATGTTTCTTTGCTTATTTGATAAATTGTATTGTTTTCCATTTATGTTGTTTTCAGTTGAAAGCCATGTAATGAATACAGTCTGATTTGATACATTATGTGTTTAAAGGAGGCCCTTTTTCAAACTGATATTCTGCATCTCAAAGATTTACTCTTAAATTAAGGTATGATAGTAATTCAACCGACTTTACGTTTGTGCTAAAAAAAAAAAGAGTAAAATCCAATGATTTCATTGCACTCAAGTAGGTTTTAAGTGAGATTAAAGAGCAGCTAGCGTGTGCTCTGTATGTTTGGATGTGTGCGAACTGGACTACATGTCGGACATATGAACAGAGCGTGGGGACTGTGTGGGTGTAAGCTTTGTGATCAGTCATCCAGAATCCCAATTCTGCTTGGTGGCAAAGCTCAGTGGACTTTCCAGATGGATTATTCCGGGTGACCGACTGTAGGCAAACAGCAAATTAATGAATTAAGGATAGAGCTAAGATACTTGGATCACTGGGGTTTTTCTGTCACTGTTCTCATTTGCGGGGCTGCTGTCTGGGATTTGCATTAAAGATGTCAGAAAATTGGTTATAAAGGTGAAAGTGAGAAGAAATCGGATGAATAAACTACTCTAGCAGACACATCAACACACGCATAAAGCATTGAGACTCAATACAGATTTAAAAAAAATTATATTTAACCACGAAAGGGAGGTAAGCTTGAGAAATAAAGAAAGAAAAAGTAGGGGAAAGGAGACGTGAGCAAATATAAAGTCCTTGTATGTCCCTAAAGACGACTTCTCCTCTATGGCTGATAGACTCCTGTACTATACTGAAGGAGATCTCCATATATTAAGAGTGACCTTCCTTTGTTTTATACTCACCTTTCAGCCAGTTTCATTTCAAACCTGATGGCGCAGTAACCTCCCTGTATGATTTTCTTATAAAGTCACCTTATTGCATAGAGAATTTGGTTGCAGACCAAACTATTTCCCGCATGAAAGCAGCTGAGCA